TTACCTAATAGGGTATCAGGGCCAATCCCTAAAGAGACACATCAATCAGCTGCGACCTGTCAAAGAAAATCCAGAGGCTACTGTAGAGAAAGAGCCAAGCTTAGTGCTGCCGAGTACATCCGAAACAAGGGCTGCGAAGAGAATCGCATTGCGAGAGAGAACCCTCTCAAGGTGGTTTGGAGATTCCGGAAGAAGAGTTCACTACAAATGAATTGGAACCGCAGTCAACCAGGCAGGAGTTGACATCAATTGGAGAACACCAGGAGCCTATGGCTGTTGCTTCTAGAGGAAAAATCCCAAGCCGGAGCCCCAGACCCCAGAGATCCAGGAGACCACCAGACCGTCTCCAATATTATTAGGAGAGGAGGGTGTTGTGTATTTGCATACTTGGGATATTTTCAGAAATGCAAATATCCTCTTTGCATACTCATTTCTGACTTCATGTATAAATAGCGCTACAAGGTGTTAGCAGGAGTCAGTCCATATTGTAGAAGTTAGTGTTCTAATAAATTCTAAGAGAATGTAGTGGCCTGGGAATGAGAAACCCACACAGAGGCACGCAACACTCTGTAATAGGCGCAAATATTTCAATATTGCGCCTTGTTGATTAATAGATAAAAAATAAAATAAATAAAATGAAATAAAAACTATGCTAGTATTTATATATATATATATATCATGCTATAGTGCTCTCTTTAGCGTGTTTTGTATTCCTGTTACCACATGGGTGACCTGGGTTCGATCCCAGCAAGTCAGTTTTTTTTTGGATGAGTACTCTTTGTCTTGTTGTGAGAGCTCCTGGATTATAAATAATTGTTCGTGGTTTCTTTGTTTATATTATCTATCTTTTTACTGTAACTCTTTGATAATTTAATTTTTACCATTAACACGAATGTCAATGAAATGGTTTAAAATAATATAAAAAACCTCTTTAAATCCTTTTTTTAAAATTATTCCTAGTACACGTGGTACAGACCATGATAATCATGGTAGGTAGAAGTTGGCGACTGCTTTTACTGTAAGTGAACCACATATCTACACATGTGAAAAGCAGTTCGAATTTTTGCACTTACATGTGAGCCAGAGCCCCGTTTGGTTACCTGCACTCGCTGGTGGGGTTGGACTTTTGCAAAAAATCGGGGGCCATTGGAGCATTTTTTTTAATCAGAAAAAAGTGGCCATTGCGGGATTCGATCCCGGGTCGTAGTGGTTGAAGACTAACGGTTTAGACCATCCTTCCACCAACCATCTTTTAAACATTATATCCTAAGGATAATAATAATAATTAAATAAAAACAAACGATAGCAATGCGTCTCTTTATACATAAAATTTTTAATATGCTAGCTTTCGGATCTTATCGATCCTTCAACAGGCCAAGCTGTAAATTGAGAGAAAGAATATATATATAAATGTAAAATATTATTTATATACACCAATATAAATAATATTTTACATTTATATATATATTCTTTCTCTCAATTTACAGCTTGGCCTGTTGAAGGATCGATAAGATCCGAAAGCTAGCATATTAAAAATTTTATGTATAAAGAGACGCATTGCTATCGTTTGTTTTTATTTAATAATTTATAGCAATTCTTTTGTCTATTTACAATAATAATAATGGAACGTCTGAGATGTCAATCCATTAAAGACACTTCTGACACACCTTGGTATTCTAAAGGTGTATATATACAATTCCAATATTTCAACTTCAGCCTTGGAAATATCGACAGAAGGAGTGCTAGCCTTCTCTGATCTTGATATCCTAAAATTCTTCTAACCATTAGCCCATTCTCTTGAATAATTTACCTTCATTTGAAGAGAATCCGTGGTAAATCCATATATAATAAATTTATTTTCCTCCAATTTACCCAGACGAATCTATTTATTAACTTGATTGTCTTTCGTAAAGATAGAGGCTGCCTGGCAGGCATTCATATTTATTGAAAATAAAGATACTTCGGCCAGTATATTTTTTTTTATAAAAAGATTTACTGACCGAAGTATCTTTATTTTCAAGAATTTGATTGATATAAAAAGATTTACTGGCCGAAGTACCTTTATTTTCAAGAATTTGATTGATATAAAAAGATTTACTGACCGAAGTACCTTTATTTTCAAGAATTTGATTGATATAAAAAGATTTACTGACCGAAGTACCTTTATTTTCAAGAATTTGATTGATATAAAAAGATTTTACTGGCCGAAGTACCTTTATTTTCAAGAATTTGATTGATATAAAAAGATTTACTGACCGAAGTATCTTTATTTCAAGAAATTGATTGTCTTTATATAATTTATCCTGTATATACATATCATATTACCATTAAGGTACTATTACTTTTTTTTTTCCTGCATGTATCCTACATTTCTGCTTGGAGAATCTGTATAAGACTAAAAGGTCTTAATAAAGCTTTTTGTTGTTTGTTGTTATGTGTTATTCTCTTGAATAAAATCAACATCAAATTGTGGCTAGTTAAAACACAGCTAGAATCCTCGTGTAAAATAACGAACACTCCCGAAATCTTATTTTTCAAATTTTACTGAATTCCATTTCGAACACAAGTTCGTAATAATTGCAAAGTTTTCCTGGTTTGTCTAATTTACCGACAGCTAGCACCTCGTGTAAAATAACGAACACTCCCTACATCTTATACAAGAATGTAAGAACATTTTTCAAAATTTACTGAATTCCATTTCGAACACAAGTTCGTAATAACTACAAAGTTTTCCTGGTTTGTCTAATTTACCGACAGCTAGCACCTCGTGAAAAAATAACGAACACTCCCTACATCTTATACAATAATGTAAGAACATTTTTCAAAATTTACTGAATTCCATTTCGAACACAAGTTCGTAATAATTGCAAAGTTTTCCTGGTTTGTCTAATTTACCGACAGCTAGCACCTCGTGAAAAAATAACGAACACTCCCTACATCTTATACAATAATGTAAGAACATTTTTCAAATTTTACTGAATTCCATTTCGAACACAAGTTCGTAATAATTGCAAAGGTTTCCTGGTTTGTCTTATTTACCGACAGCTAGCACCTCGTGAAAAAATAACGAACACTCCCTACATCTTATACAATAATGTAAGAACATTTTTCAAATTTTACTGAATTCCATTTCGAACACAAGTTCGTAATAATTGCAAAGGTTTCCTGGTTTGTCTTATTTACCGACAGCTAGCACCTCGTGAAAAAATAACGAACACTCCCTACATCTTATACAATAATGTAAGAACATTTTTCAAATTTTACTGAATTCCATTTCGAACACAAAAGTTCATAATAATTGCAAAGTTTTCCTGGTTTGTCTAATTTACTGACAGCTAGCACCTCGTGTAAAATAACGAACACTCCCTACAAGAGTATAAGAACATTTTTCAAATTTTACTGAATTCCATTTCGAACACAAAATCTCGTAATAATTGCAAAGTTTTCCTGGTTTGTCTTATTTACCCTCTAACCCAATGAGGCCGGTTTCACACGGCTTCTCCCCAAGTGAAAGCTTGCCACACGAATATTGTTTTAAATGTTATTTATCATCATTGTATCATTATCACCCTAATTAGTAATCTAGATGGTAGGAATTATTATACCACTAACATGTGTATGTATCCTCTGCTTTACCCGGTTTTTACCCGTAAGTTTGCCTAAGGAACATTGTTTTAACAATCAGTAGTAGTAAAAATTGTATTAATACATCATCGTCATCATTTTTAATATTACAAATATGTAAATAAGTTATTGTGGTTTAATTTGAATAGCCTAAATGTTTAACTGCATCTTTATCTATACCCCACACTCATTGATAAATTAATGTATTTTTTAATTGATAGTTTTAATTTAAAAGAATATTGAAGTGACCTTTAAACCTCTCTCATATATATATTGTTTTGAAAATAGAGTAATCCATACTTAATTCATTAGATAATAAAAGGCATATATTGGATTTAATAAAATATTTATTTTGCCAATATTTCGGCTGGCTGAACGCCAACCTTTATCGAGGCATTACATTTTTGTATACACAAACTCAGCGCAACTTTGATTTTATTAAATCCAATATATGCCTTTTATTATCATATATATATGTACCTAAATAGGTACCTATTCCATTAAATATGCATTAGAATAATGCCTTATGCAGTGGAGGCCCGCGTTAAAATTGTATTAAAAAATCTTCTTCTTCTTCCTTATCTCCACTCAATCATATTAGGATATCAAGTTGTGACCCTTAATGGTGTCTGTTTGACAACCATCATGACTGGGTGAAATAGAATGCGTCTGCCTTTGTCATTAAGACTTGGAGCACTACTCAGTGGCAGGTCGACTTAGCTCCAAAAGAAATGGCCGCCTCTGACATGAGGAACAGACGCCATGTGCAACCGCTCCTAACATGGAGTACAAACGCTGCTCATCCTGTATCCCTGGATTAGGAGCCCTTACAGGGCACTATCAGCCGGACCAGCTGAGCCCAGGTTTTTTAGCGAGCTTGTTACTGCTCCCCCTCCTCCTTTTTCATCCGGGCTTGGGACCGGCAATGGCGGAGTTGTATTAAAAAAAAAAAAATGTAAACACCCTAGGTATTTGGTTTTATTTTAACTCTAGTCCTATTGTAGAGTTTTTTTCTCCTAAAGAAAGGCTTTCATGCCAGAGAGTTAGAGATTTGTGAATTAAAATGTTTTAAAAGAAACCTATCCCCCCGTAAGCCTGATATTTTCACTTGGATATAATGTATTATATTTATCTCCTCAGTATAAAACTTAAAGGTGGTAATAAAGAATGAACCACATAACCAATTTTGGAAAATTCAGGAAAAAGCTTATAATAAAGAGTATATAAACAATACTTAAAATTATACCGCATAAGTTTCTTTTCTATGAAAAATCAATATTTATTTTAAAGAGAAATATTTACTATTTCTAACTTTTTGAATGAAGTATGAGAGGGTGAAAATATGAAGAGTAATGGCGAACGGGAAAAATAAAAGTGTCCAGGGGCGGGAATCGAACCCACAACCTTCTGCTTACCGGGCAGGTGCCATGTCCACTAGGCTACCTTAAATTAAAAAAAATTCTAATGCGCACTTACTGCAATAATATAAATTAACACAAAGCAATAACGCGCCATCTATACATATAAAATGAAAGGATTAAAAAAAAAAACGAATGTTTATAATAATTCCTTTCATTTTATATGTAAAGATAGCGCGTTATTGCTTTGTGTTAATTTATGCCTAACTGGCCTTGTCTTTATAGTTTGCCGAAGAGCATTTTCTCGATGCAAATATTTGAATGTAAATCTACTGTCCTATAAGCTTATGTCCATAGTTTTCTTGAAAACCATTTCTGAAATTCCATTCTTCAGTGCTGCGTATATAAGCAGAATCGTCCAATACAGTATTAGAGCTCTTAGAAGCGGTCTGGTGGATTAAATTGGCGAAACCGCTGGGAGGGTTCACCACTGATGAGCCAAACCCTCCCAATATATTTTTTCATCGCAGTAAGGACAGTAGAAGTTTGTATTATGTATAAAAGAAACATTCGTGCTTTTAAATCCTTTCATTTTATATGTATAGATGGCGTGTTATTGCTTTGTGTTAATAAAATGCATATGTTTCTTTTAAAATTAAATAATTTTCGACGGCCCTCTCTTATTACAATAATATACATATTGGTAGAGCCTGACTAACTATTGGTAAACCCTCCCAGCGGTTTCACCATACCGCTATTGTATTGGGTTGTTTTGCTTTTATATCCGTTACTGGAGATGACCTATTGAAAAAAAAGATTTTTTTTTTTGTTAAAAAAAAAATTATTAACATAATATTTGAGAATGTTGACAATTTAAACAATACTATTGACATCTAATTGTTGCAGTAGAAATACAAATTATTATAAATTACCTGTATCGAGCATTTTTATTCGGCAAACAATTAATAAAATTGATATATTATGATGCATTAGCGCGCGCCATCTGTTATGAAAATTCGAAACTATTATAGACGGGAATGATTCTTTTTAAAATTAAACAATATCTGCTGCCTTTACTGCAATGGAGCCAGGCCCTCCCATCAATTTTTTCATTGCAGTAAGGGCAGTAGAAATTGTTTAATTTTAAAAAGAATCATACGCGACTATAATAGTTTCGAAAAATAATATACGTAAAAAGGAAACACTTACCAAAATGAATTGTTGCAAATGTTATCGATAAATGGAAATTATATATAAATTTATAAATTAATTAAAACATTCAAAACATATTTTTAATACAGTAGAACATTAAAATTTTACACAAATAAATTTACTGGCAATGCGTTTCTTTTAAATATCATCAAATATTATCTCTACAGACCTTACTGCAATGATATGAGTTATTGATTGAAAGGGCTTGGCTCATCAGTAGTGAACCCTCTCAGCGGTTTCGCCAAATTAATCTCTAGACCGCTCTACTATTGTATTGGATTGGTTTGGAATATACCCTGTATTTTCTATGGAAGGCAGCTTAGGGGTGTTTAGTGAACTATGGACTTAAGCTTATAGGTCTGTAGTGGTACATACATATAATTCCATGGTATTGCATCGAGCAAAACTAAGCAAAAACAACACAACCAAACCAATCCAATACAATAGTAGAGCGGTAAAGAGATTAATTTGGCGAAACCGCTGAGAGGGTTCACTACTGATGAGCCAAGCCCTCTCATTCAATAACTCATATCATTGCAGTAAGATCTGTAGAGATAATATTTGATGATATTTAAAAGAAACGCATTGCCAGTAAATTTATTTGTGTAAAATTTTAACGATAGATGGCAATTAAATTTAATTTACAGTAGAACATACTCCATGAGAGGATACTCAAATTAGAAGACACCTCTCTACAAAGGACAGTTTTGATCGCAGAAATTATCATTTTTACTATTTAGTAACTCTCCGGTAAGAGGACACCTCTCCCTAATGAACACTTTAGCTCTACAACTAAGTGTTGTCCTTTACAGGGAGGTTCTACTGTGTAAGCATTTTATATTTTTAATTCATTCTCATATTGTTCATATGGTTTGTGTTATAGTCAGTTTTAATTGTCTTTAAAATTTGCAGATGTCCGGCTTCCACGACAAGGTCACTCGTCAGTTTTACCTTTGAATGTGTAGCTCTGCCTTTGCCGGTCCCAAGCCCGGATGAAAAAGGAGGAGGGGGAGCAGTAACAAGCTCGCTAAAAAACCTGGGTTCAGCTGGCCCGGCTGATAGTACCCTGTAAGGGCTCCTAATCCAGGGATACAGGATGAGCAGCGTTTGTATTCCATGTTAGGAGCAGCTGCACATGGCATCTGTTCCTCATGTTAGAAGCGGCCATTTCTTTTGGAGCTAAGTCGGCCTGCTACTGAGTAGTGCCCCCAGTCTTAATGACAAAGGCAGACGCATTCTACTTCACCCAGTCATGATGGTTGTCAAACAGACACCATCAAGGGTCACAACTTGATACCCTAATATGATTGAGTGGAATAAGAAAGAAGATGAAGACCTTTGAATGTAGGTCTATGAGTCAATCTGCTTACAACATGTGTAGATATGTGGGGTAATTATAGCAAAGGCAGTCGGCAGCAACTACCTACCATGATTATTATGGCCTGTACCACGTCAACAAACACACACACTAGAGAGGAATCTAATAATAATAATAACATTATTAAAAAAAAAGGTTACAAGTTTTTCTCTAACAAAATGTAACGAATGGTCAGTCTATTTATATATTCTTATTTACAACATCGTACTATTAATAGTAAAAGAAAACATAGATATTTGTATTTTGACTTCTAGTCAGTTCTGTGGCCCTCGCAGATATGGTCCTCTGATGTCCTGTAGCTCTCCAGCAGTCTTTCTCTGTCCTCTTCTGGTGTTGGTTTATAATAATAATAATCAGCACTCGATAGTTAAAGTGTGTGTAGCCGGGGATACATTTAAAACATGATAAAAGAAGAGTGAATTCTGTTAAAAAAAAGGGGCATTTCCCGATGCTCAATTTTCCCGATCTCCACCACCCACTCTGTCCAAACACCAGACGACCGCACAATGAGAGAATTTGTCCGCGACACAAAAAGACCAATTTGCCGGTGACACCGACAAGGGGAGGGAGGGGGGTGTCATGATGACGGTCATAAATACCGCCGGGGCTTTCTTCCCTTAAAGATCCCTAATTGCCGCTAAAAAGAACGACGGCAATTAGAGACCACCCACCCTCGGCGTGAGGCAGTGGTCAGTTTGGTCGAGAACCTGGACGGACGAGGTAGGTCTCATCTGTCTGTGGATCCTGGGTATAGTACTTGTTTTGTCTGTCCTAGGTATAGTACTTGTTTTGTCTGTTCTCTATGTAGTTCTTGTTGTCTGTTCTCAGTGTAATACTTATCATCTGTCTTAGGTATAGTACTTGTTTTGTCTGTCCTAGGTATAGTACTTGTTTTGTCTGTCCTAGGTATAGTACTTGTTTTGTCTGTTCTAGGTATAGTACTTGTTTTGTCTGTCTGTCCTCAGTGAAATACTTGTTTTTTGTTCTTGTGTTCTGTCTGTGGGTCCTTGGTATAGTGCTTGTTTTGTCTGTCCTAGGTATAGTACTTGTTGTCTGCTCTCAGTGTAGCATTGTTTTGTCTGTCCTCTGTGTAGTTATTGTTTTTTTCGTCCTCTGTGTAGTTCTTGTTGTCTGTTCTCAGTGTAATACTTATCATCTGTCCTAGGTATAGTACTCGCTTTTGTTTTTCTTGTGACCTGTCTGTCGGTCCTCAGCGTAGTACTCGATTGCTGTTCTTGTGGCCTGTCTGTCTGTCCTCAGTGTAGTACTCGATTGCTGTTCTTGTGGCCTGTCTGTCTGTCCTCAGTGTAGTACTCGATTGCTGTTCTTGTGACCTGTCTGTCGGTCCTCAGTGTAGTACTTGTTTGCTGTTCTTGTGACCTGTCTGTCTGTCCTCAGTGTAGTACTTGATTGCTGTTCTTGTGTCCTATCTGTCGGTCCTCAGTGTAGTACTCGATTGCTGTTATTGTGACCTGTCTGTCGGTCCTCAGTGTAGTACTTGTTTGCTGTTCTTGTGACCTGTCTGTCTGTCCTCAGTGTAGTACTTGATTGCTGTTCTTGTGTCCTGTCTGTCGGTCCTCAGTGTAGTACTCGATTGCTGTTCTTGTGACCTGTCTGTCGGTCCTCAGTGTAGTACTTGATTGCTGTTCTTGTGATCTGTCTGTCGGTCCTCAGTGTAGTACTCGATTGCTGCTCTTGTGACCTGTCTGTCGGTCCTCAGTGTAGTACTCGATTGATGTTCTTGTGACCTGTCTGTCGGTCCTCAGTGTAGTACTTGTTTGCTGTTCTTGTGTCCTGTCTGTCTGTCCTCAGTCTAGTACTCTCTTTCTGTTCTTGTGACGTGTCTGTCGGTCCTCAGTCTAGTAATTCCTTGCTGTTCTTGTGGCCTGTCTGTCGGTCCTCAGCGTAGTACTCGATTGCTGTTCTTGTGGCCTGTCTGTCGGTCCCTCAGTGTAGTACTCGATTGCTGTTCTTGTGACCTGTCTGTCTGTCCTCAGTGTAGTACTTGATTGCTGTTTTTGTGACCTGTCTGTCGGTCCTCAGTGTAGTACTCGATTGCTGCTCTTGTGACCTGTCTGTCGGTCCTCAGTGTAGTACTTGTTTGCTGTTCTTGTGTCCTGTTTGTCTGTCCTCAGTCTAGTAATTCCTTGCTGTTCTTGTGTCCTGTCTGTCTGTCCTCAGTCTAGTACTTTCTTTCTGTTCTTGGGACCTGTCTGTCGGTCCTCAGTCTAGTAATTCCTTGCTGTTCTTGTGTCCTGTCTGTCTGTCCTCAGTCTAGTACTTTCTTTCTGTTCTTGTGACCTGTCTGTCGGTCCTCAGTCTAGTAATTCCTTGCTGTTCTTGTGGCCTGTCTGTCGGTCCTCAGCGTAGTACTCGATTGCTGTTCTTGTGGCCTGTCTGTCTGTCCTCAGTGTAGTACTCGATTGCTGTTCTTGTGACCTGTCTGTCGCTCCTCAGTGTAGTACTTTCTTTCTGTTCTTGGGACCTGTCTGTCGGTCCTC